GGTTTTCCTCTCCCTCCCAATTGAAACATTTGGGGGAGTCAATTGCATATATGGTCACGATACTCTAGAGTGGTTGATAAATCGAACATCGAACTATGACTTTTAACGCGCTCGCTTATAAAACATATTAGTGTGCCGCATACATCATCCAATTAGCTACTGAGCAAGAAGAGAAAGCTATTAGAGTGGGGTTCGGTATTATGAATTGAGTAACGAGTTTCGTTTGGATTGATTGTTTACTACAACGAGTAGTTCTTGCAAGCTAAAGAGGGCATTGTGTTTTTTTTTGGGTAACGTGGACGAGTTGACACGCTAATATATGGATGATTTAGATGTGAAACCCGACGAAGATGAATATTGCCATTTTTCTTAGTTGTTCCAAATCTCGGCGATTGGTTTGTCAGCAAATCAAAGTTGAATGATCGATTGGTCGGTGCGACAATGTCTAGTTGCCATATATGTCAAACTAATTTGGCTACTGCACATCCATTGCGTGAATCAAGTAATTGTGCTAAATGTGATAGAAAAATTGTTTTCCCCCCTTTACCATCTTGCCTCTCTTCTTCTTCTTCATTAAAGAGTACCCAATGGGCATCCAATGCAATGGAGAGAAAAATGTGAGAGGATCTTTTATGTGTATGTATATTGATATTGTGTAGACCTAATTTCTAGTGGTCACCATCTCCTTATAAATTTCCATGCATGCAATGCCAAGTTTTCTTTATTTTTAGTAGTCAAGCCAAAGCTGCAAATGCAAAAGAACAATCATTAATATCTTGAAGTGTTGTTGGTTGGGTTTATGTCAGTTGTGCTTGTGTAGATGGGATGTCCCCATAAGGAAGATAAGGTGAAATCTGCATATGTAGATAAGATAGAAAATTTATTAAATTTTATCCAAATAGGGTTTAGGTTAATCAATTAGAAGAACCTAAAGTTTGCCAAATTCTGTATCATTGTTAGCTTTCAAAAAAAAAAAAAAAAAAAAAAAATTATTGTCTGATTTCTCAGTAGATAAATAAATGAAAGTTACTAGAACTCGAATCTGTCAATTGATAATGGTAGTTGTCTCAAAATTTATTCGCTGACAGAATAATTTGGCTTTGATTTATACAAGTAGTGATGAGGTCACAATGCTATTAACGACCTAAACTCATAGTATTTTCTTAGTTTCCATTATGAATCTCATCAACTTATCAAATTCCCTTATTAAAATCTAATATGACTCTAATTTTTTTTAAAAAATATAGGCCGAGTTTTATGTCCCGGTATTTACTTCTAAAATGGCTACTAAATCAACTACACTACCCTCGTATAAGCTCCATCGGCTTTGGTTTGATCCAGTGGCGGATTCAGAAAATTTTCACAGGGGTGTCCTCTTAAAATTAAATTTAATTAAATAATTCGTATATAAAAAATATCATACTTGTATAAATTTTTTATTAAAATTCATGATGTGTTTTCATATTTTGAAAAAATAATATAAATAAACTCCGTGTCTGCACTGTTAAAAAAAAAATCTACATATCCTACTAGACAATACTTCACGAACTTATCACATATTCGATTTCTAACCTTGTTCTTAATGTAGCTCGAAGTAGAAAAGACTCTTTCAACACTTGCCATGTAACCATAAAATCAATTCAAAATTAAGGGTAGCGTGTACGTAGTTTAATTATTAGGTATTGAAAATAGTTGGGGATAAAGAAATAGTGTTTTACCGTTGCATGATGTTTAAAATAGAATAACAAATGAGTAGCAACATAATTAGAATATGTTTGATAATAGTAGTGTCCTAGGTTGGAATAACACGGACTACCACTTATATTTTGTTAATCATAAGCAAACTATTATCGAGGGTAGGATAATCATTTTTTCAAATGTTAGGGTGTCCCGGATTACCAATTATATTTTGTATACCCATACGAAACTATTATCGGAAGTTAGATAATCGTTTCCCAAAATTTTAGGGGTGTCCCGGGACACCCCTAGAGGCCCATGTATCGGCCCCTGGTTTGATCCATAATCAAATTGTCGATGTGTTACTGCACCATCCAAAAACCAGACATACTTGGATGAAATGAGCTAAACATTTGTACTACACTTATGCATTGTGTTCTGCTCTTACCAAAGGTAATTCACTAACCAAAAGGAAAAGTCCAAAATGTACCATTTCACCACCAATAAAAAAACCCCTAGTTTTACAGTTGATAGTTGAAGGATGGGACCTTATAAAATGAATATACCCTTTAAAAAATGTGACAACTCACCATATACCTCACTAATATCAGGATGCCATATAAAGGCTAGCAAACATATTTACATTTGGATGCATAAATAGAAGACCAAGAAGAAGGAGGAGAGGGAGATGTAGGAAGAGGAGGAAGCAAAGCAGAAGTGTTAAATGGGAAGTAGACAAGTAGCATTGAATAGGGAATTTAATGGTAAGAGCAGAGATATGGGGTTGGTGGTCCTTAATAATAAGGGTAGATGCAAGTGAGCAAAGCCAAATTCAATTGGTGAAAATAAAAAGGAAAAATAGAAAGATTGGGTTTTGTACTTTTACTAGTGTCTTATTTGGAAAGTGAAAAAAGTTACAATCTTGGAAGGTAAAAGACCCCAAGAGTTACAAGTGGAAAAAGAAATGGGGAGTAAATTGTGAAGGGATGGGAAGATAGGAATGGGGAAGTGAATTGAAAATTTAGCCGGATTTGCAAAACCTTGTAGATGGTCCGACTGGAAAAATTGTTTATTGGAGTTCAAAGTTTTATCGATATGAAATGGTTGAACTCTAGTTGAATCAAAATTTAAGCACAAAATATCATATCATTGACTTTTCGGAACAATCTACTATACAATATTACAGTAGTTTCATTTAAGGTCCTCAACAGTCCATCTTACAAAGAATTGGGCACAGAGAAGGACAATAAAATTATTGGGTGGGTTGATGGAAGATTCAGCTTATATGCAATTGTCAATTTGTCATTGTAATAAAGAAAGAGGGGGAAAAAAAAACTTTGGTTCCCATCCATTCTGCAAGCATGTCTGTTGTTCCAGACAAAGATTTTGGGTATCTCTCTCTTTTGACAGCCTGGGAAATGGTTGCCTCCCCTCAGAATTCATATTTTATTACCCATATGGTACCTCATTATCTTTCAAATTTACAAAATACCTCCCTTCATCTTAAAAACTTTCACAAAGATGGCACTTCCCCAATCTGCATTTGCTTTGATGGGCAGGCTGGCTTTCTTCTGTTTGCCATTGCAGTCTGTTGCTGCAACTGCAATCTGCAGAACTTACCCCTAATTTACTCTCCCCTTTGTTTGAGTTACATGGTTTTGGGATATAACTTGCATATGGAGCACAAGAACTATGCAGAAAGCCACTTCATAGCATTGTAAACAATGGGGAGATTAAGTTTCAGAAGGACAGTAGTACCAAGATATGATAGAACCAACTGTGACACCAGAATGGGAAATGGGAAGGTGGGGAAATTCAATCACAGATGGTGTTTATGAATGCAGATGTGTAAAACCCAAAAGAAAGAAAGAAGATGATTGATTATGTTGTTTGTGAGAGAGGAAGTAGTAGTACCATTTTTGTTGATGTAAGAAACCCAACCAAGCATGGGTTTGTGTGGGGAAGAAGGACAGTAATAATATGACAGATGGAGGGGCAGGCCCCCCCAAAAAATGACCTATTGTATGTAACTGATGAAAATGGTGTAGGAAAGTGATTGGAGAGGAAGAACAGATCTCTAAAAAATATATTTTGTTGGATCATAATGAACCCTCTACCTAGTTCATGCATTGTGAGAGAGAGTGACTATCCATTGATTCTTGGCCCTCAACAGCTGTGAAAAATCTGATATGGGTCGTTTGAATGGAGCAATTCGATGATATAATTGAGTCAGATTGTATTGTTTGGATATACACAAATCAATCGGAGCACTTGAGCATGAGAAATTTTCGAACTGTTGTGAGACCATTATAATTGTTTCAGTAGAGAGATAATTTTTGTTGCCTCATTACAAATCACTCATTTTGTAAAATGAGACAACTTGCTCAATTGGCTCATTTCTAAATTGTTCTATCGAAACAATTCCTTTAGCAGTCAAGTGCTTGTATGGGTTAGTACTAATATTCATGCACTTATCGTGATTATACCCTGAATGGTGCCTTGTAAGATGGATGAATATTTACTTGTAACTCACTAATGAAAGATTCTCTTATGAAAGTAAGCGACTAATTCTCCTCAATGACAAGAATAACTCATCTTCCTACAAACCACTAATTTTACAAAATGAGACAATATTGACCCAATTGCCTCATTTATGAACCTTTTCCATCGAAATGGCTCATTGCATAAATATTGTAATCAGTACTTATCGTGATTATCGCATGAATCTTGGTTACAAAAGGAATGGATAGTTACTCGTGACTCACAAGCGTAAGATCCTCTTACGACAAGAAGCGATTAAGCATATAGATGATTAACGTCACATCTGCACGAGATTCATCTTCTTCCTCGTCCTATGCTATACAACATTTTTTTGGTACAACCAAATACAGCAAAGCAATCAGGAGAGAGAGTCGCCTCCAAACAATTTGCGTCAAAATTTCAGGCCCAACATGTCGTCTCCCTCTCTATCTCAACGGCAAAATATATGAACGTGACCGCAGGAATTGGTCGATGGCGACTTGCAGAGTTTTGGCGCGCGCGGGCACGGTCTCCTTATTTCGATCCAAATTTCTTCTTCTCTATACGTGGAAGAGAACTCTGCATTTTGCATCCACTTTTTTTTCCAGATAGTATGCAGGAGATCAGCTAGGTCCACTCTCGCTTTCATTTTTGTTTTGGCTTCCAGAAAATGAAAAGGATGGAGAAAATGTGGCCTATGTTTGAGCTAATTGAACCCGTGAAGGAGTGAGCCTGTGCTGTGCCTGCCTGCATTTTGGTTTGCGATAGTACACATGATATCATCAAATCATAGGGAACGAGATGGGCTAACTGACTTTGTATGCATTTGCGTCGTCGTCGACTCGTCTGTCTTCAATCAACATCGATCCTACACATATTTTTATATGTGTGCTCTGTCGTCCATGACAAGAGGAACAAGACATACCGAGATGCCAACAAGATCGCGATGGCTGAATGCCATGCTACATTTAGCCGAGCAAGGTCGTTCTACGCTCGAATATGGTGAGCTCATTAGTAGGATTCGAATTCAAGTTCAACAGGGTGAAGAGAACAATCAAAGCAAACCAGATGGGTAGTTCAAGGTTAATAAGGTTCCATATTGTTTAAGTGAAGAGTTACCTCGGTGGTATCCGTTACCTCTGAGGTGTAATGAGGTGAACAGAAAAACACCATGAACATTCAGACAGTGAGCAGACAAAAATGGAAGACGATAACGAGCTCGTTCAGGTTCAGGGGGGTGCTCCTAAATACCCATTAAGACGGGGTTTACCAGCTAGAGACTATCTATCTATCTATCCTCCACGCATGTGGGCACCGAGTTCACCAAACTGATCGTCAGCTTCAACTGTATCATCAGACAAACGAACTGCATCCAGCTTTTGTTTGAGTATCTCTATGGCATTAAGCACCAGCTGAGAAGCTTTAACAGCACCGGTCGTCTCAACCGTGAATATGAAGCTGTCCTCCTTGGCTTTAATGTCGATAAGCCCTGTCTTCCCCATTGATTCCAGTTTCTTGATGACTTCATCATCGTAAGTATATGCTTCAGCATCCACAACCACAACCTGCAAACACGGTCATTTAAAGAAAGCAAAACCACTCTGAAGCGATTGGATAAAAACCTAACAGAAAAATGATTTGGTAAAGCACAAGGCAGCAATCATTCAAAGATATGCACTGTTTTCGCTAACCTGTTGGGTAGTAGGATCGATGTCGAAAACCTTGGTAGGGCTGCTCTCTACTATACTCTGCTTATCTTCAAGTGACAATCTTGCCATCATATCTTCATTGATATTGATCTCTGGTTCATACATGAAAGTCACGGTGGCTGCTGGAGACCACTTCGCATGATCTTTCCCAATACCTTTCCTAGCTATTGCCCGGAGTCTTAGCTCTTGTCCACGGCGCAGTTTCACAATCATAACCCCCCTACAAACAGAAGATATCAACAACTCATTATCACCAAGGCTAACAACCACCAAAGAGGGGAAATGAAAGGTGGCTAATAAGCAGCAATAGACTCCAGATCATCTGACCACCCACAATTTCTGCAAACTCAGATCGTTCCTCTTCCCAAATCCTTTTGGGAAGCTTCGGTTTGCTACCCACGACGCGATTATCTAACAACAATACAGTCAATTTGGTAAACTAGAACACCATGGGCATGTTTCAGGAGCAATAACCTTCCTATCTTGAGCAGCCTCCAGTAAGGAAATGTGACATTCTTACAATTAGGGTAGAATTAGTGTCAAAAGGGGGAAACGTTTTCTCATAAACCCTAGAAATCCAAAAACAGCACCACCCCAAAATCCAGCTCCAGATTATCGCATGCAGAACTAAGAACAAAGGGAACAGGGAAAGCAATAACGAGATAGATTCAGTAAGAAACGGCATTACTTCTGCTCAGAGGTCTCATCGCCGGCAATTTCATTGAAGTCGACGGGAACCACGGTGTGATCGGAGCTCAGCAAGTCCTTGCTGGTGACATCCAGGGTCTGGTCCACCACGCACTTGGCCCGCAGGTGGAACTCGACGGAGCAGTACTCGCACTGCCCGTCGCCGTCGCAGGCGTCGCAGTCGCGGGAGAATCGCATGCTCATGGCCCGCTCGCTGGTGAGCGGGATGAGCCCCAACCTGTGGGCGATGAACTCGTCGTTGAGGACGGAGGAGTTGACCTCGATCTCGACGAGGTCGATGGCGACGGTGGGGACCTCGGCGATCATCACGCGGCGGAGGGCGTTGGCCACCGAGGCGTCGGTGTTGCGGAGCTCGAACTTCATGTAGTCGTCCTTCATCTCGCGGATCTTCACCACGGGTTTGCGCTGGTAGCTGCGTTCCTCCATGGCAGCGAGAGAGAGATCGAAATGGGAGCCGGCGGCGGAGCTGGGCTTCTCTTCCTTCGCCGGTGAAATGCGGGTGGGAGAAGTGGAAGAGATTGGAATTCGGAACCCCAAGAACGAGGGTTTTAGATTTGGAGCTTTCTCCCGTCAGTGGAATCGATGGTCCGAATGGCTGACCTGGATCTTGTGTTCAGTGGAAGATAGGCCAAACTGCGTCGTTTCGTTGGTAGGCCGAAATGAGAAGGTGAATGTGGGCTTTTATCTCGGCCCATATTCGGCTAGAGGTGGCCTGCTTTCCATCTTGAACTGGGAGTGGGCTGGATTGGGGCCATGCCGGAAGTCGATCTCTTTTATTTTGTGTTTCGTTCTTAGTACAATTTACAAGTATCATGAAACAGACCACTAAACATAGACAATAAAGCATAAACACAACAAATCCACTACAAATAACATAAAGTATATCAGAAAACTTATAAAGCATACCAAAACATCAGCACACCGTAAAATTTATAAAACAAACAAGATAACTCAAAGTAGATTAAAATATCCCTGAAGCATACCAGAAATTCTATAGAGCATACCACAAATGGATTAAAGCAGACCATAAGTTTCATAAGAGTATTATAGTGACTACAACTCCTTGATCCGCCCCTGCCTTCTATTATTCTTTGCCTCCCGCCATCCACCTCACTTCGACTTGTCACTTGGCGTTGAAAGCAAAATAGCATGTTACTTGTTAAAAAAAATTATTTCATATTATAAATTTTTTATTACTTTGTCATCTTTTATGACGATTATAGTTTGCTTCGTGAAATATCTGATGTATTTTCCTATTTTTCCTGTTTAAACTCATGTATTTTTTTATCTATCATATCACACTTTTTGATTGGCACCATTTTGACATGGAAAAAAAAAAAGTTGAATTGAAGAAAATACTATGCGTTGGTTTGGGATAAATGGGCTCTAACGTCTTTTTCTGTGGCATTTCTAGAAGTCGTGCTCCTCAAATATCTTCTTACTAAAACGTAACTTAATTTGTGGGATTCAACGTACGGAATTGTAGTTTGTGAAAAGAGATGAGAAGGTACAGATAGATATCACAGGATTGTACAGTTTTTAAAACTGCGGCGGCTAAGTGATGATGGGATCTGCATGCCTTGTAATTCGAAACACTGTGTTGGATTTGAATGTACGTCCAGAAATTTGCACGAGTTTTGAACTTGGGGACTCTTTTGGCATTACAATATCATATCATATCATATATTTCCTCGTAGATAACTAACTACTATTATAGAAAGAGTTCGTCAATTCAGCAGTATGGGAGATGATAGTGATAGGACAATTTTTATCATTAATTTGTAGGTAGGGTTGAAGTTTGCATCACACCATGCATCAGTCATAATGTGTTTATCAATAAGAGTTATCAAGATTCGAACATAAGATTTTTTGGTTACAGAAGACTCTAATACTATATATGTCAATAATTAGTTGATCCCAATAATTTGAGTTGTTGGGAGAGACTAACATTTAGAGTATACGTAGCTCGACCACTGCCACTATCCTTGTTTCGTGTGAATATACAAGAATTATGTAGTTTCGTCATACCATGCATTGTGCTAATTACATCTGAGTTAAAATATGAGTATACGTATAACATATTGCTAAACTTATCGTGCGTCTACTGATTTTCGTTATTTGGATTATAAATTAATTGGAGTTTGAGACATTATACTATATCAAAATCTCTCTCGGAGAAACTTCGGTATACCTCGTTCTCTAAATCCAACCCAAAAGATCAATTTACTAATAATAAAAAAAGAACTGATAATTTTGATTCGTAAAAATATATCGAAGTACATCTAAAATATGTGATGCTAATACATATAATATTATGTGTAAGTGTAACACGTTAGACAAATCTCACATCGACAGAGCACAAGAGAGATCCATGGTTCATAAGTAAGGCGCAAAATTTAACCGACAATACGTGTTTTTGAATGAAACGAAGGAGTTTTTTTTTTAGAACTCCAAAGTATAACGTGCTCAGCGTAGAGCAGTACAAGAATGTGTGAGCTTATGGGAAGTGATCTAAATATATGTACCAAAGACTAAATCTAGGGGTGGCATTTCGGTTATTTCGGTTATAACCGATAACCGATTGACCGGTTAACCGAAATAACCACTCCCCCTACCGAAAACCGCCCGAAATAGGCTTCGGTTTCTCGGTTATCTGTTAACCGACCCACTTTTAAGACAAAAAATCATTTCGTCTAGCCTCCGATAACCGACCGAAATTCGATTACTTTGATTACCGGTTAGTGGATAACCGGTCGATTATTAGTTTAACCGGCCGGGTAACCGGTAACCGAACTGCCACCACTAACTAAATCCGTAAGAATCTAAACATAAATGAGACAATATTTTATGAAAAAAAGGTTCAAAAATGTTTCCAGAGAAGAAGAAAATTGGAAAACAGTGTACAGTCTAATAATGGCGAACTACTCCACCTGGCCGGCAGAGGCAGACTTGTACATCCATCAACCTCCCGCGTCCAGAATATGAGAGTTGGAAGCTCCATGCAACTACTTCATCCCATCCGTCCAAATATCAGTACCCTAAACCCAACCTTTTCTTTGTTGGAAACCAATAAACAAAAAAACAAAAAATAGCAAATTACTTAACGGCGATCGTTGCCGGACACAGCGGGGGTCCTCTCCATTAACTTACTATGCTAACTAATTATTAGACACTCCATTTAACGGCGGCAGCATGATGATGATGATCTTATTGAGTTATTGTAATTTATCATTAACCAAAACGACAGTCCAAACCCCACTGAATCCCTTCGAATCACAGCTGTCGTTCAATTGGCACATGCACAGGACGACGAAATTAAAAGTCTCTCCAAATTATAGTCTCATGCACACCTACCAACTCATTAAACTGTGACTAAATCATCAAATTAAAAAATATCGTAATTCTTAGCAAAAGACATTCATGTTAAAATAATGTCAACTAATTACCGGGGGGAAAAAATATCAATCATCACTTTGTAATATGAAGGATTAAAAAATGCATGAATTTCACAAAAACAATTCAATATTTATTTTGATTTGGACTCGATGTCTTAATGCTAGTTTTAGAGTTTAGTGAATAGTATGCACTCAATTTTGAGAGTATATATATATATATATATATATATATATATATATGGTGGCTACTTCGGTGCACTCACTTTTTTGGGTGCACTCAGTACACCCAGTGGCGGAGCCAGAAAATTTGCCAAGGGGGTGCTTGTTCATGTAATGAAAAAATCAACTATACAATTAAAAACTCAACTTTACACGAAAATATGAAGTGAATAACATAATACCCAAGATTTGTACAATTACATAATAATAGTTATACACACATCGCCTACAATGAACCTCGACGATTGTATGCACGGTTGGGGAAAAGTTGCAGCTTGCTTGCTACCTCGTGATTCCGTCTCTTCATTTCCGGAGATGGAGAGCTTGGAGGGTGGACTCGCCGCCGTTGGAGAATGGAAGCTTTGAGGTCGGCGAGTGCACTTGCAGCGCCTCTGCTGCTGGGTAGAGGAAAACGAAAATGAAATTGGGGGGTTTCTGCCTTGCTGGGATCGACGATAGTGTTTTGTTATTAGGACAGATAATTAACTCTGATATAAGTAAATGTGTGTGTCAAATAAACTAAAATCCTCTTCTAGCTGAGATGGTGAGATTGCTTTGTGTGAATCATGTGGTTAGAGGTTTGATCCCCATCTCCCACTATATATACTCAATATTTTTTTGCCCACAGCCAAGGGGGCTGCATGCACCCCCCTCCCTTAGGCGTAGCTCCGCCACTGAGTACACCCAACTCTAAAAGTGACCATAATACATCAAATTTTGAACTTTAATTAGTACTCTCAATCTAATATGATGATATGACATAGAATCATAACAAATTAATCTATTACCCTAACCCCTTAACCTTCAATTTTGAATCCCAACCCAAAATCCCAAATTGTAAACCTAAACCCTAACCCTAAATCCCTAAATCCTAAATCCTTCGAATTAAAGTAAATTTTGAATGAATTTTTTTCAAATTCATGTGCTTCTTGTTCATAATATCATAAGCAACAATTGATACCGTTTTGACATGAATTGCATGTTCAGAATGACAATTATGAGGCTGGTGCACTGAGTGCACCCAAAAAAGTGGGTGCACCGAATACGCCACCATATATATATATATATATATATATATATGACAAAGGCTAACGTACGTCCGGGCGTATGCTAGCCTACCGTACGCCCCATTGAGTTTTGCTATTTAGACAAAGAATTAATCAGAGTTTGGGACATGATACTATACCCTAACCCCTAATGGGCGAATCCCAGTCCCCAATTCACTAACCCAAAACATGAGATTCGTTTAATCTTAAAAATGAAAATCAACGATTCTGATTCGTCGAAATTTTCATTGATTTTCATTTTAAGATTAAACGAACCTCATGGTTTGGGTTAGAAAATTAGGGACTGGGGTTCACCCATTAGAGGTTAGAGTATAGTATCATGCCCCAAACTCCGATTAATTCATGATCTATATAGCAAAACTCAATGGGGCGTACGCTAGGTTAGCGTACGCCCGGGCATATGCTAGCCTAAATAGAATCATATTAACGGCGTAACGCTGTCAAACTCTTGGAGTATGCTATACTCCAAGTAATCAGGCGGTCATATTACGTAGTTATACTTCGTCAAATCAGAATCATCGATCATACTCTTTATTAAATTTGATCTTAAGATTTGACCCAGGCCGGAGCTTTATCTATTACAAATTGGTTCAGTATCATACTCCAAGCTCGATTTAATTTATAAACTGAATAGAAATATCTCACCGAAATGTCTGAAGTATATTTAAAAGTACGTCAATACGACCCATATATATATATATATATATATATATATATATATATATATATATATATATATTTAAAATCAAATTAAATCCTAGAGCACGACGTATCAACTTTGATAAATAAAATTTCACCATAAAAGAAGAAAAAAAAACTTTGATAAATAATCCTTTTACCACATGACTCACCCTTGAATGGTTTAAAAATAATACCAAAAAAGGGGAGACATGGACATGGTGCCCTCCAAGGCCAACATTTGGCAACATCCAAAACCAAATAGGAGCACATTTCCCAGTTCTGGAGACTTTGATCAATCACGGGCAATGGGCTTAATAAGTTAACAAAACTGCTCCCCTCCCAAATATGCTTTTTATTATTTGATCGATCCATCCATCCATCCATCTATATATAACCGCACAAATCCATCACCAACCACAACTCAAACAGTTAATTCACTCCCATCAGCAAACCAAATCCACCTCTAATATCCACCATTCTTTTAATTCTTTTCCTTCTTTTTATTTTATTATTTCTTTAGCCATGATGAGCTTGGACGTCTACCACAGCCTGATCTTCGGCGGGATGAACAAGCATCATGATTGGGCCAGCTCGGATCATTACTTCCACGTGGCGGCAGCGGCGCAGTCGTCGGAGATGGAAGCAGCGGTTGGCGGCGGGATCGACGAGGATGATATCTTGTACGCGGAGCTGAGCAGGCAGGTCCTCCTGCTGACGGCGGATGACGACGAGGATATCGAAGAAGTGGAGGCTCGACGGCGCCGTTTCGATGACGTCAGTAGTGGTTACGGCGGTAACTTCATGAAGAGGTCGGCGTCGGTGAACAGCAACGAGGGTTTCAACTGGAGTAATTTTGGGTCGGATTTTTTTACTGCTGGGGTTAATCATCATCAACAGTACGGAAATTTACCTGCTGCTGCTGGTTGTGGTGGCGGCGGCGGCGGCGGCTGGCGTCAGGGGAATTCGACGTGGGGGAGCGCTGCTGTTAATACGGGGACTGGGGTTTTCATCCCTCATGTAGCTAACTCAAAGAGAAGGAGCCGGCGAGGTAATTACTTACTTTATTCTACCGCGTTTTTTTTCTTCTTCTTCTTGGTTGCGTATTATTGAGATGAACTGGTTCTTGATAACAGGCAAGAAGAACGGGAAGAAGAGAGCTGCAGCCGGAAGCAAGCAGGCCGGTGAGAGCAAGCAATGATTGCTGACTGTGGCTATGCATGTAGAATTCTTTTTTTTTTATCGATGGATTGGTTTGGTTATAAGAGGAAAGGAGGATTCTTTCTGCAATTGAAGGAATAGAGCTTGTTGGCTCTATTTTTTGTTTTTGTTTTGGTGTGCTGCTGCTGATGATGATTTTTGTTTCTGTGTGTGGGATTCCTGTGATCCTTCTGAGTGTAAGAAGGGATCTGTATGTTAACCATGATTTTGGTTTTTTCTTCTCTGGGTTTCCAGCACCTATACCAATTGATGTATTGTTTTTGATGATGAAATGAATGGCAAAACCAGCCAGTAATAATTTGAGAGAATGAAAGAGATTTTCTTTATTGTTGAATTTTGATCAAGATATTACTTTCTTCTATTCAATTCTCTTAGTATGTCGTATATATATACTATAATAATTCGGGTTACTGGTCATCAAGCAACTGATTGTTGGCATGGTATGATCAGACTTCAAAGCTTTTCATAACCGCGAGAGATCTTTTATTCGACTCCTGGTAAACCCATATATATATGGTATCTGATTCTTGTACAAATTTGAAGCCCATATGACTGATTTTCGTTTGAGCGGGCTTGCTATTAGTAAGTGGCATATATATGATCTACAGTCGACCATTTCCTAATAACTCGAGTTAATGGATCAACTAGTTCTTAACATGGGTATCACTATCTTATGTGATCGAGAAATCTTCTATTCGAATTCCAGTAATCCCATTAATAAGCACATGTGGTATCTGATGCTTTTGTAAACTCTCAAGCCTAGCTATATCAGTGGGTTTCGATTGAAAGAAGGTATTAATTCGTAATATAATATTCATTATTAAATCTCTCTCAACAAATTCTTGTTAGAATACATCTTCATTCAGTCCCTCCCTCTTTCTTTATCAGTAGACATGTTAAAAGTACAAATAATTAAGACGATGCAAAGTACATGGATCAACTGCACAATCAAGCAGTTAGTTTCATTAATTAATCTCTTGACCCTATATACGCCGGTAATTCGTTAATGAGTTCCCTCATCGTCGCCGGACTGATTACCTTGACCCTTACCCTTTCCCTTGCCGGCTTTACGACCCTTACCGCGACCCTTCTCTCCCCGGATGCCGGCGCCTTTCTCTCCCTGATCGCCGCCGGTTTCGTTGCATACGGGCTGGCAAGAGTCGAGGCACTGGACGACGCAAATCTGACCCGCCGGACATGTCACCTTCTCGCACCCGCCGCCGGCAGCTTCCACCGCGGTCTTGCCGAGCCTGGCCGCTGACGCCGTCAATATCATCATGAGAAGAGGGATCATTACTATGCTCAACTGTTTTATAAGACGGCGATGAGCCATTTTGTTCTTACGATCGAGTTGTGTTTGTTTGTATCGTTGTAATGATTATAGCGCAGCTTTTTATACTACGGCGGAATGTGTTCTTCCATTTAGAATATAAAAAGTCTACGTGTTTTGTTTAATTGGATGAAATCGGTGTGTGTTCGTGAAGCAATCTTGTCACGTGGTTTTCTGGGTTAGAGTATAATGAAGCTTGATTAATGCAGTGATCAGAATATTAACAAAATCTCTTGTAACAGAAATAAAATAAATGAAGAAAAGATTTGGGAAATCATAATATTCCAATGATCGTTATCAAAATGGTTCATAAAAAGTTATTTTATTGAAACTAAAAGGAGAAGAAAATCGAAGTGGAAAAGTCACATATTTGTAGATATGTGGATTGGATTTATTGAACCAACAGTGGTTTAAACTTTCCACCATTATGAATTTTTGAAAAAAAAAAATTACACACTAAAATGTCACTATATGATTAATTTCTTTCTTTCTTCAAATTTTAGGTATTAAATTATAAAATATACAACACTAAAATGTAAATTAAGGATCGACCAGTCTATCTGAATTTGGATTAAATGAGATGTATTCAAATAAAATGGATTAGCTTCATTTTTTAGTAAATTGATTAGATTGGATTCAAATTGCCTATCTTTTGAAAAAATATATTTGTTTTTGAGTAATAATGCAACTAGAGGTGGCAATTGGATCGGATTCGTGGATTGGATTGGTGGATCTATGGATCAAATGGATTGGTTGATTCATGGATTGGATCAAATGGATTGGTGGATTGATCCATGAATTCAAATGATATCCAAGGCTTGGACCAAAATGTAAATTTTTGAAAAGTTTAGGTACTAAAATGTCACAATGAAAATTTTTAGGTACCAAAATATAATTTTTCAATGATATTTTTCGTATAAAAATATAAATTTTAGTTACCAAAATGTAAAATATAAAAATATAGGTACCAAATTGTAATTTTCCATTTGGATCCATGGATTGATCCATAAATCCACAAATTCAATTGGATTTAGATCAAATGGATTGGATTAAGTGGATAATTTGGTGGATGGATTGGATTCATGGATTTGGATCCTAATTGCCACCTCTAAATGCAACCGAACTAAACTGATATTTGAATTGGACAAAATATAATGCTTTTTTCGGTTTACCAAGTTAGGTACTTTTTAATTTGGTAAAGCGTTATTATGGCAAAAATTACAAAGACTAAACCAAATGAACAAACAAAGCTCTTATCGATAATTCAATAATATAAATTTAAACTGCCGATAATACAACCTTTATTATTTAGTTTTGTCTTTGCGTATACATATGATTAATCATCATATTTAGTAATTAATCATTAGGCATTATTGCCTCATAATAGTAAAATATATTATGCATTTAGTTAAATTCAATTATCCAAACGACGCCGCTCCTTTATCTCTTGCAAACGACTCCACGCCCTTCAATCCCGCTCTCGCACTTCAAGCTCGGCAAGAAAACCCTCTCCGCCGCGCCGCTGCCGCCGGACCCAACAAACCTCGCCGCCTTGCAGTCGGGCGCGTAAAGGCTCGAAGTCTCAAACTCCCTCTCCCCGCCCATCACAGCCATTTTGGCGCTGACGCTCACCGGGCTCACATACCCGGCCCGGTACGTCTGGCCCAAAACCCCATTCACAACGCCGCTCAGCGAGTCGAATCGAAACCCTAGATCCAGATGCGCCAGGCAATCGCTGGAAGTCACGCCGTAGTTGTGGATTCTCGAATCCTCCTGCGTAATCGGCACTACCCTGGCCGCGATTCTGAGCTTGCCTTCCACCTCGACTACCACGCTGTTGGCGTCGGCGGACCGGGTCACGGACGTTCTGGAAGTGGCGGTGGCTCCGGATTCCCAGCTGGCGCCTTGTCTCTCCGGGAGGAGTAAGGGCTCGCCGTCGAAGGTGACGAAGAGGCGGTCGACCGAATCGTCCCAGGTCGTGGTTTTCAGGGCTCCGACGGTGATTCGGTGGCTGTCGAAGAAGATGGCGATGGATTGGACCCAGGTGAAGTCGCGGGTCATCTTGGGGTTCCTCTTGCCGATGAAATGGGCGTTGATGTGGAGGTTTTCGTCGGAGACCAGGCAGAAATCGCGGTCCTTCTTGCCGTGGAAGTAGAAGGTGATCCCGTCCCCGCCGATGAAACGTGGGTCCTGGCACACTGCACCTGGTTTGTCGCAGCCTGTCATTGATGACGTACAGACGGAAAGCATACGTCAGAGTTAAGGTAACATCGAAAACTTGTGATCATGTAGTGAAATTAGGCAACAAGTTGCAGAATTTATGAATTGAATAGATAGTGTTAGAGATAAGTGATAGTGTAGTGGTTTAAGGGAACTTACTGCAGACAGGCCTGCAAGTGACGCAATCGACCACGCAGTCATATGGACAATTGCTGGGGCAGAGGAACTCTCTGTAGTAGCAAGCATTGTAGTTCTTGTTCATGCACCTCGATTTCTTTGGCACATTACCTTTGGGTGGATATGAAGTTGACGGAGTGGGAGGAGAAGCCGGTGGTGTTCCAGTTGGAGGAGTTGGTGGTGTAGGAGTGGGAGTTGGTGTTGAAGGCACCAGTGTTGGTGATGGGCTTTGATGATCACCTTTTCCTCCTTTGCTGTCCTCGTCGCCCTTTTCTCCTTTGCCACCTTCATGATCATCATCTCCTTTGCCTTTGTCATCTCCACCCTTCTCTCCTTTACCACCTTCCTTATCATCATCTCCTTTCCCTTTGTCATCTCCACCCTTCTCTCCTTTGCCACCTTCCTTATCATCATCTCCTTTGCCTTTGTCATCTCCACCCTTCTCTCCTTTACCACCTTCCTTATCATCTTCTCCTTTGCCTTTCTTCTCATCGTCGCTTTCTTTATCATCATCACCCTTCTCTCCCTTGCCGTCTTTGTCACCTTCACCGTCTTTATCTTTATCGTCCCCTTCCTTGTCGCCCTTGCTGTCCTCCAGAAGTGAACGGCCCGAGCCGCCAGTGCAGATGGGCTGGCAAGAGTTGCACTCAACAGTGCAGGTCTGGCCAGGGCACGACTTCTCACAGGCAGCTTCCATGTTCTTGCAGAGGCTCAGCTTCCCTTTGCATGGCGAGTTGCTCGCCTGGGAGACGATGACACTCAGCGACACGATCAAGAGAAGCGGAAGAACCAGATGTTTCATAAGGTGATGAGCCATTTTGTGGGAACTCCTCCTAGTATTCGGTTTTGGGGTATTCAAGAAGGATATTTGTGTTTTTGTGTTGTGTCTGTGGTCTCCAGTTAACTCCCCCTTTATAGCTTCAGGAATATGGGAATGCTGTGTTTGCAAAGCAATGCCACATGGTATTCCAAAAGAGGAACATGGCTTGATGTGGGAAAATTTCAGCACTTGAGCCACTTTCTCCTGGTGCTAAGAAATGTTTTTCTAGGAAAGAAAATGGCAGCAGCCAGACAGGATAGAGGCTGGAGAAACAGGGCGGCAATATTGTATTAACATGAAATGTTCCCTTGCAGGAATCATTGGGGGAGAAGAAGCAGACGTACCTTGTAAATGGGCTTTGCGAAGACCCCTTTGCTTCTTCTTATTGGTGACTTGGAAGTTGAAGGTCAGCGGCGAGAGTGCTTTATGAAAACTGGTTTTTTTTTTCAGATTGAAGAAAAGGTGTGTTTTTTTCTGCTGACCATCAAAGCCAGCAAGAGGTTGCTGCTACGTCTTTCTGTATCCAGGTACTATGTTCATATGATTACTAGAAGAAGAGATTCCCAATCCCAATTACTATCAGCAGTTAAACCAATTCCATGTTGATTTCTTGATGTCTCTATTTCAAAGTCGTTGTACTTATATTTTTTTTTGGAAGGCCTTTGTGATGAATATAACTTTTTTGTTGTTGTAATAATGACACATTCTAGTGGTCAATTTTACATTTTTGTTTCTATAGCTATCTCAACCGTTTATGCAATCCAACTCATATTGTTTTGTACCTATATAATGCAACTCACTTTCAATTGCATATGCGCTTGCATTAAGGTAAAAACTAAAAAGTATATAATTCTACTGCAGAAGCAAGCTAAAAAATATATAATTCTACTGCAGAAGCCCATAATTCCAGTTTTTTTAGGTCGTTTTGACTTTCATAATTCCAATTCTTTTTGAATTTGTGATATGTAGTCTTCAAAATCGAAAAAATGACATTTCGGGAAAATCGACTGGAATCGGTGATGGGTATTTGTTTGTGAAGTCCTAGGCGGTTTGTAGAGCGAGAGCAAGGCGTCTGTTCTTGGATAGAGGGTGTACTCCAGATTCCCTGCGAAACAAGGGTCCGTGGGTAGGGCTGCAAACGAGCTGAGTCGAGTCGAGTTTTTGCTTAGCTTGAGCTCGGCTCGTTTATTAATTTTTCAGCTCGAGCTCGGCTCGAACTCGAATTTTGATTATCCAGCTCGAGCTCGAGCTCGGCTTGAATAAAAATAATCTAGCTAGAGCTCGACTCGGTAGAGCTCGATAAATGCTCATTAACATAGCTTGTCAAGCTGAGTACAAGCTCGGCTCGAGATGGGCTCGATTTAAAATGATTTTTGCTAGATTAATGTATAAACATAAGAATTTAAATGATAGAAAGAACACTAGAAACTATAAATAACATCTAGATTTCATACACATCTGTATTAGAAGACAATGTTCATGTTTAAAAGAGTAATTCATCCTTCCACAAGCTCAAAACAAGGCAGCTCGCGAGCTTAGCTCGACAAGCCACTGAATCAAGCTAGCTCGCGAGCTTATCAAGCTGAGCATGGTCTAGCTCAGTCTTGGCCCGTTAACTAACGAGTTGGCTCGCGAGCCGGCTTGTTAAATAACGAGTCGAGTGTCGAACGAGTTTTTTCCGATTCGAACGCCGAGTTGCTCGCGAGCGGCTTGGCTCATTTGCTGCCCTATCCGTGGGCGATTGCCCACGACACTCTCCGAAGCTTAAGTTAAAGAGAGAAGTGTAAGAAATGTGTTTATGGTAGAGAGAGAGAGTAGTTGAGTTTACCATCAATGCTCTCATGGTGCATTTATACCTAGTCTGGTGGTGGGTAAGACGTTAAATGCTACGTCAGGCGTCCCAAGCAGACCTATTCCCTATGAGGACCGCTTGCGGCGGGTAATAAATGCTCAGTCTTACCCAACCCGAGGTACGTATCTCAACGGATCTTTACATTTCTGTCGTAGTCAGTCGGTTTATGTCAGGCGACCTAGCTACTCCTCGGGCTTAGAGTCGGTGAAGGACCGCTTGCTGTCCTGGTCTTTCTAGACGAGCCAGATGCTCTATTGGGCTTTGTTCACTAATTCGCTCTTCTTGGGCCCGAAGCTCAAGTACGCTCAACTACGTGGCCCAACAGTATCCCTTTGGAGTATGCCAAAAAAGGACCTAGAAAAATCTGTCCAAATAAGTGCTTAATGGACTCATTGTTGGACAATAGCCTCAGGCTGAATCCGTGTTCTGTAGCCTTCAAAATCAAAGGAAAATAGTCTTTCGAAAAAAATTTCCCAGAAAATTACGAAAACGCCATCCGAAAATGAATTTGCCCAATTGGTGCTTAGTGGACTTAATCTTTGGTGGAGAATAGGATCAATATACTTCATTATCATTGGAAAATAGTCTTGGACTGAATCTATGATTTGTAGCCTTAAAAAATGAAAGAAAATGATACTTCGGGAAAATCGACCGAAATCGGTAATGGTCCCCAGGAGTCTGCAAAAAAAGGCCCCGAAAAAATTTCCGCTCAAATCGATGCTTAATGGACTTAAGCATCGTTGAAGAATAGCCTGAGGCTGAATCCGTGATCTGTAGCCTTCAAAATCCAAGAAAAATGGCCTTTCGAAAACAATCGTAAAATTATAGAAAAGCCATTTGAAAAAAATTCGTCCAAATCGATGTTTAATGGACTTAATCTTTAGTGGAAAATTAGTTCAACAGACTTCATCATTGTTCTAAAATAACCTCATACTGATTCCTTGATATGTAACCTTAAAAAACGAAAGAAAATGGCATTTCGAGAAAAATCGCCTAATATCGGTGATGATACCACCCCTTTGGAGTCTGCAAAAAATGGATCCGGAAGAAATCCGCCCAAATTGGTGCTTAATGGACTTAATCATCGTTGAATAATAGCCGCAGGCAGAATCCGTGATCTGTAGCCTTCAAAATCCAAGAAAAATGACCTACTGGAAAAAATAGTCCAAAAAATTACGAAAATGCTATCCGAAAAAGAATTTGCCCAAATCGATGCTTAATGGACTTAATCTTCGGTGGAGAATAGGATCAATACACTTTGTTAACGTCAGAGAATAGCTTCGGGCTGAATCCGTGATTTGTAGCCTTAAAAAACGAAAGAAAATAGTGTTTTGGAAAAATCGCCCGAAATTGGTGATGGTACCCCTTTGAAGTCTGCGAAAAGTGGACCAGAAAGAAATCCGGCCAAATCGGTGCTAAGTGGAGTTAATAATCATAGAAGAATAGTCTCAGGCCGAATCCGTGATATGTAGTCTTCAAAATTAAAGGAAAATTGCTTTTTAAAGAAATCACATAAAAAATTACGAAAATGTCATCCGAAAATGAATTCCTCCAAATCGGTGCTTAATGGACTTAGGGTTAGTTTGGCCCTGCTGTAGCTTTTGCAGAAGCAGCTTCTCGCTGGAGCTTTTAGAGAAATACTTTTTTAAAAAAAGCAGTTGAGTGTTTGACTGAAAAACTATTACAAGTGCTTTTTAACATGAGAGGTTTTGTAAAATGACTATAAAAGACTTATAATATAAAATATGAATAAAAGTTCTAAACAATAAAAATTAGTCAAACGAATCTTATTAGATTTCTTTTATATTAAATAATACGATTTTACAATTTATTTTATTTTTAAAATATATAAATAAAATAAAATAAAATTATATTTTCAAAATAAAATTAGAATATGGTAATGATAATATTTTATTTTCAAAATAGCTTTTCACAGAAGATCTAAATCGAAGCTTATGATTTTATGTTATACAAAAGCGATTTTTGATTTTCAAAATCTGAGATTTAAGAGCTGTTTGACCCTGCTTCAACTTTTGAAGCCGAAAAGCACTTCTAAAAGTCGTGCCAAACATTGGCTTAATCTTTGGTGGAGAATAGGATCAATATACTTCATTATCATTGGAAAATAACATCGGACTGAATCCGTGATCTGTAGCCTTAAAAAATGATAGAAAATGGCACTTCGGGAAAATCAAGCGAAATCGGTGATGGTACCCCTTTGGAGTGTGCAAAAAAAGGACCCGGAAAAATCCGCCCAAATCGATACTTAATGGACTTAATCTTCGTTGAAAAATAGCATCAAGCCAAATCCGTGATCTGTAGCCTTCAAATCAATGGAAAATGACATTTCAAAATAAATAGCCTAATAAATTACGAAAATGCATCCCAAAACCAATTCTCTCAAATAGGTGCTTAATGGACTTATTTTCAGTGGAGAATAGGATTAACATACTTCATTATCGGAGGAAAATATCCTCGGCTGATTCTGTGATATGTAGCCTTCAAAACCGAAATAAAATGGCATTTTTGGAAAATCGCTCGAAATCGGTGAAAGTACCCCTTTGGAGTCTTCAAAAAATGGACCCTTAAGAAATCCGTCCAAATTGGTGCTTAATCGACTAAATCATCGTTGAAGAATACCCTCAAGCCGAATCCGTGATACGTAGCCTTCAAAATCAAAGGATAATGGTCTCTCGGAAAAAATCACCCAAAAACTTACGAAAATTTCATCCGAAAATGAATTTGCCAAAATTGGTGCTTAATGGACTTAATCTTCAAAGCGTAATAGGATCAATAAACTTCATTATTTTTGGAGAATAGTCTCGGGCTGAATCCGTGATCTATAGCCTTCAAAATCGAAAGAAAATAGCATTTCAGACAAATCGTCCGAAATCGGTGATGGGTAGAGTCTACAAAAAATGGACATGGAAGAAATCCGCCCAAACCGGAGCTTAATGGACTTATCATCGTTAAAGAATAGACTTTGAGCCAATCCGTGATCTGTAGCCTTCAAAATCCAAAGAAGATGGCCTTTAGAAAAAGAAATCGCCCAAAAAATTACGAAAATGTCATGCGAAAATCAATTCTCCCAAATAGGGCTTAATGGACTTAATCTTCAGTAGAGAATAGGATCAACATACTTCATTATCGAAGAAAAATATCCTCACGCTGATTTTGTGATATGTAGCCTTCAAAACCGAAATAAAATGGCATTTCTGGAAAATCGCTCGAAATCGGTGATGGTACCCCTTTGGAGTTTGGAAAAAATCGACCTGAAAGAAATCCGCGCAAATTGGTGCTTAATCGACTAAATCATCGTTGAAGAATAGCCTCAGGCCGAATCCGTGATATGTAGCCTTCAAAATCAAAGGATAATGGTCTCTCGAAAAAAATCACCCAAAAACTTACGAAAATTGCATACGAAAATGAATTTGCCAAAATCGATGCTTAATGGACTTAATCTTCAAAGCATAGTAGGATCAATAAACTTCATTATTTTTGGAGAATAGACTCGGGCTGAATCCAAGATCTATAGCCTTCAAAATCGAAAGAAAATAGCATTTCGGGCAAATTGTCCGAAATTGGTGATGGTACCC